TATATTGCTAAAATTAATTGTTAAAATTTTATTATAAAAATTAATTTTTAAAAAAAAGATGCAAACAAATTTGCATGCAATACAATTTAAGGGATAATTTGTTACTTGAAAGGTTAACAACTTATCTTTACTAAGTCACCACACTTCTATAAGCTAATATTAATTAATCTAGACTAATAATTAATATAATCTAATACAAAAAGTATAAGCATGCTTTTATTAAACAATAATACTTATATATATATAGATATATATTTAATTTAGTTTAATTTGATTTTTTTAATAAAAATAAAAACATAACCTTATATTAATTTTTTTTAAAAAAAATAAATCACTATTTTGTAGTTTAACTATTTTTTTACAACTTAGTAATCTTATTTTTTAAAAAATTATTATATTTTTTTTTATTTAATAAAAATTTTAACCAAAAATAAACCAAGTTATATGCTTTAGCTTACTGCTATTGACTAATTTCAAATTTAATTTTAAAATTATTTTTAAAATTATTTTTTAATAGTTAATTTTCAGCCAATCAAAATACAAAAATTCACAAAAACATCACAATATAAAATTTTTAAAAATAAGACAAATTTTATAATTTTCGTTTTTAGATGTTTTGCATTGTAATACGTAGTATATAAGTTCTAAGGCTAAATAAAGTATTTAATTAATAACCTTAGCTCCTGAAAATCTGGTTATGTATGTTACAAATAAAGTTTTTCAGAGGCGTTATAAACGAAAAATGCCGAAACTACGTTTTTGACATTTCTGTTATAAAAGCATCTAAATCACAATTTTGGTCATCAAAGTGCATAGAAGTATGAATCCGTCGCTTCTTGGACAATCAAACCTAATTATATTCATGTGACATTTATGTATATAAGTTTTATCTAAAAAAAAAACCGTATTATGCAAATTAGTATAATATAGTTAAGCAAATTAGCTAATATAGGTTAAATTTTAGAATCTATACTATACTAATCCGATATTATATACTAGCATTAGGGTTAAACTTTGGCTTTTACTCAAGTTACGAAGATCAATATAGTATGGATGTGATTTTATCATACTGTTTTGCTATCCCTAGAATTTAGGGTTAACTCTGTACAGAATTATGCTTAATGCCGGCCGGATTGTTAGAGGGTATGACAATTAAGCAGAATTATGCTTAATGCCGGCCGGATTGTTAGAGGGTATGACAATTAAGTAAAACAGTATGGTACGGTTTGATAATATCACATCCATACCATACTGATCTGGTTAGTCGTACCATACTGATTCCTTTTTAATTCGGTCTACACTGATCTACCTAACCCCTAACACTATATATATGTTCAGTATTGTATAGTTTCTAAAATTCGATACTTGTCGCCCAAATCTCAAACTATTATCGTTTGAGTTTGTTCGTTCCAAATCTCAAACTCAAGCTCAAACTAATATCTTAAGACTTTTATTAAAAATCTTTGTTTAAACAAATAATATATGTTCTTATAGTTATATATAATATATTTACAAAAGGATTTTATAATTTTTCGTCTATATGCGATGTATCGCCACTTATAAGATCATGTTTAACGTTAAATCTAAATAATAATACAAATGCGTTAATTTAAGGTTAGGGTTAGCATTTGAACAGAGTTAGACGTTATTTTAGAAAAAGAGCTTTTAGTCTAAAATTTTGCAAGGATTTTTTTAATTAGAACGTAAGACGTGGTTTCATATGCAAAATCTTGAGTTACAAACGATTATTCAAAAAAGACAATGTTTTGCTTCGATTTCACGTTACACCTGATCTTGCATTATAATTGGTCGATCAGGGGTAGTGATACATCACTATTGCGATAAATTATTGGTTTAATTTTTTGATGGTTTGGGATTTGTCCGGGTTTTGCCAACAAGTATACCTATACTAATACTGATCTGCGAAAATTAGTAAATTTCAGTAACTGACCAATCGGATTTAAAGAATGCCATGTTTACTATTCATGCTGTTATGTAGATGGTGCAAATCACTATTATTAGATGTAATTAGTACATACTCATAAATTGTTTTTCTAAGTATTGCATAATCTCGATGAAAAAAAAAGAAAATTCGCATATACAGAACCTATCAAGATTATGAAATTATAAAACTTTTTCGCTAAATTTTTAATAATTCGTCGGCGAGTTACAATTCAGGATGATTTGTACTATGGTGTTTAATTAAAATTAGAATAATTAAAAATAGAAACCTGTTAGAATACGAACCGTTTTTTTTGTTAGTCTTGAAAACAAATGATCTTCAAATTTGTATTACGTTGTGCATGATCTGTAATTTATTAGTCGATCAAGGGTTGTCTAATAGGAAAAACGATGCATTAATTATTTATCACCCATATATTTTAGGCGATGCGTAATACACGTGCTCAAATGTAATGTAAAATATCACACCAGGTTGCTTGGCAGGTCTACTTTTCTATTTTGATTATTATTCTAAATCAATATTTAAATATTTAAATACGTACTATATATTTATGTTACGTATCAGTTAACTATTTATAAATTCAGTTTAATAAACTATACAAAACTTTTTTAAGTTCTAATTTGAAAAACTCGGACAATTAGACTGATTTATCCAAAGCTCTCCTATCAACGGTTATTTTTTTTTATTTTTTTTTGTACCTAATAATTTACTATAAAGGCTTATGCGCGTTATATGCAAACTAACATCTAATAAAAACCAAACTCTGATTTATATAGAAAAAGATGCAAATTCTCATTGACGCAAAGCGCAAGTTTAAATTAAATGCTTGGCACAACCATGTATCGTTAAAAAAGGGATAGTCCATTTATAGCGGTGCAACATTATGGAACTACTGGCATATTTTCTGTAAACTATAAATATATCATTCATTCAGTTCTTTCACGATTCTTCTCCCTTTCTTCTCCCTATCTGTTTCGCTCGTTTTTTTTTTCTTTAAATTTATAACAAAATATCAGATCAAAATGTGTGGTATCTTTGCTTACCTCAATTATCTTGTCGCTAAAGATAGAAAAACAATCATTGATACTCTTACAACCGGCTTGTCTCGTTTAGAATACCGTGGCTATGACTCAGCAGGTCTAGCTGTAGACGGTGATGCCAACTGCGAAGTGTTCATCTATAAACAAGTTGGGAAGGTTGCTGCCTTAAAAAAACTTGTGTCTGAGCAGGAAGTTGACTTTGAAAGGCAGTTTGTTAGCCACTGTGGTATGGCACATACACGTTGGGCTACTCACGGTCAACCTTCAAAAACAAACTCTCATCCTCAACGTTCTGATCCAAAGGGCGAATTTACTGTGGTTCATAACGGTATCATTACTAATTATAAAGAATTGAAAACTGTACTCGAAAACAAAGGTTACCATTTTGAATCAGAGACAGACACCGAAGCTGTTGCTAAGCTTGCAAAGTATCTGTATGATACTCAAAACCCTAATCAGAGTTTAAGCTTTACCGCACTTGTCAAGGGTGTTGTCAAGGAATTGGTATGTTTCTTTATGCGTATTATTATTCTCTTATCACATTTTAATTAATTAATTTAAATTCAAACCTCTTTTCAATTTTTTTAGGAAGGTGCATTTGCCTTGATATTCAAGAGTATCCATTATCCCGATGAAATTGTTGCTACGCGACGTGGATCCCCTCTTTTGGTTGGTGTTAAGACCGAGAAAAAATTAAAAGTGGATTTTGTTGATGTTGAATTCGGTACAGGTAAATAATTATATAAACTTATTTTCATATAATTTAATCCTAATTTTACCAAATAATATTTCAAAAAAAAAAAAAAAGATGAGAAAGTTCCAGATGCAGGAAATTTATTGTCTCCCACGGATGGTATTCCAAAACTTAGGCGTAGTCAGTCACGCGCTTTCCTTAGTGAGGATGGATTACCTCAACCTATTGAATACTTCCTCGCGTCCGATCCTTCTGCTATTGTAGAACATACAAAACGCGTACTTTACCTTGAAGATGATGATATTGCACACATTAGTGAAGGAGGTATTACATGCTAATCACGATTTATATTACGGATTTCTTAATCATTTGTAATTAGATTATTGACTTTAACCATTTATAAATAAAATAGAATTACATATTCATCGTTTAAGGCGTGATGATGGAATATCTGCTATTCGTTCTATCCAAACATTGGAAATCGAATTGGCTGAGATTATGAAGGGTTCTTTCGATCACTTTATGCAAAAGGAAATATACGAACAACCGGAATCCGTAGTTAACACGATGCGTGGTCGTGTTAATTTTGAAACTCATAAAGTTACCCTTGGTGGTCTTAAAGCATACTTGGCAACCATTCGAAGGTGTAGGCGCATAGTATTTTCTGCCTGTGGTACCAGTTATCATTCATGTATAGCTGTAAGTTTGTTGAGTAAATGAAAAAAAAAAAGGTTAATTGAATAATAATACTAATATCTTTTATTTATATTAGACTCGTGCTATTTTTGAAGAACTAACAGAGATTCCTGTTTCCGTGGAATTGGCCAGTGATTTCTTGGATAGAAAGACACCTATATTCAGAGATGACGTATGCGTGTTTGTATCGCAATCTGGTGAGACCGCCGACACAATTCTTGCTTTAAGATACTGTCTCGAACGTGGTGCTCTTTGTCTCGGTATTACTAATACAGTTGGTTCAACAATCTCACGTGAAACACATTGCGGTGTTCACATTAATGCTGGTCCTGAAATTGGTGTTGCATCTACTAAGGTATAAATACTTGTTTATTATATCATCCTTATGTAAATTATTTCTATATAGTAATTGACTATTATTGTTTATTACTATTATTTATTTCTTTTAGGCGTATACTTCTCAATTTATTGCTTTAGTGATGATGTCTATTCAATTGAGTGAAGATCGTACATCTATGACACAAAGACGAAACGATATTATTGATGAGCTTTATAAGTTACCTCAACACATTAAACAAGTTCTTAGTAGTGATCAAGAATTACAAAAACTTGCAAAGAATGTACTTTATAAAGAAAAAAGTCTCTTAATTATGGGTCGTGGCTTCCAAAATGCCACTTGTTTAGAAGGTGCTTTGAAAATTAAAGAAGTTTCATACATGCATTCGGAGGGTATTTTGGCTGGTGAATTAAAACACGGTCCTTTAGCACTTATTGATGAGAATATGCCTGTTATTCTTATTATGACTAAAGATTCTTTATATCCGGTAAATAATTTTTTTCCTAGCTTTTATCATTGTTTAAAAGTCTCGTAGCTTACAACTTTGAGTATTTAATAGAAGGTACAAAGTGCTCTCCAACAAGTCACAGCTCGTAAGGGTAAACCAATCATTATCTGTAATGATGGTGATGAAGGTATAGAAGTTCAATACGAAGCAATTCGTGTGCCTCAAACCGTTGACTGTTTACAAGGCCTTCTCACAATTATTCCGTTACAATTGTTATCATATCATCTTGCTGTGTTAAATGGAGTTGATGTCGATTTCCCACGGAATTTGGCTAAATCTGTAAGTGTGACAAACCTTTGTTTAAATATTTTTCATATCAACAACTTTATAACTAATAAGTATTAAAATTATTTAGGTAACCGTTGAATAATTTTTTAAAAAATTACTTTTTCCTATTTGTCTTTATATATATTTTCCCGGAACATCCTTCATTGATTTACAAGCGAATTCAATTATAATAGTTGAAATTTTGCTTTTAAAATTGATTTATTTATTTTCTTTAATAGAAAGATTCAATGATTTTCATTTATCATGTTTTTTATTCATAGTAATAGATGTTAGAAAATACATTAGAAATATCACGTAGAGAAATTATATACTTTGTAATAAACCAATGTTATACAAGTTCAGACTATATTTTCGTTTGTGTAAATGTAACTATGAGCGTTAGTCCATGGGTATTTTATATTTTATTTAATAAAATTACTCTTGGAAGGGTTGTTTTAAAATAAGCAAATAAAAAAGAATGATCCTCAATTTTGATTGGCTAACGACAATTTTCTGGGCCGTATTATACATAATTTTGGCCGTAATTGGTTTTTTAAATTTCTTAAAGGGGACGTCTAAAGCGGAGTCAACTAATGTTTTTACTCAACCCTGTTTTTAGACTTTGACATTACTATATAGTTTTGTTTAAACATTGAGGTTTTTACATATTTTGGGCTCAAATCCAAACCTATATATATATATATATTCTAATATATAGTGTTAAACTTAATAATCAATTATATATTTATTAAAAAGTAAAATAATTATTATTAATTCTATTCAACCTATTATTTAAATTATAACATTATTATATAGTTTGGGTTTGGAATTTAAAATTTTTATTGTATATAATTTTGTAATTTAGATATAAAATCTAAATTTAAATATATGTATTAATTTTAACAATAGTGTTAAACTAATGAATTTTATAAACTTGTAATAGACTTTTTAATAAATTAATAGCTTTTTAATATAATTTACTAATTAAATTTATTAGATTAATATATACTGTAATAACTAGTAATTTATTTAAATTTATAATTTGAATTACAATATTATTATATAATTTGAATTTAAAAATTGGAATTTTTATATAGTTGTAATATAAAACCAACATTTAAATATATGTTTTGTAATTCTTTAGTACTAATAATTTTTGTTTTACTTAATTTTAAAATATAGTTCAAATCTAGTTTTATATATAAAAATTTGTAACTACGTATTAACTATAATATAAATTATTGATATAGGATAATGTTTCTAATGTAGTAGTTAAATTGTTATCCTCTAAGTAACAGATCTAATATTTAAATTCTACTTATAATGAAATTTGAAAATTAATCTGTTATAGTAATTGTCTTCTGTAATCATTTGGCCTTATATAACTATAATCTCAATATACCAAATTAGATTCTACTTATTATGAGAAGCTTAGAGCATCTATATGAAGTATAACATTACATATATATAGAGAAATATTCTAACTAGTATCACATAAAACTTTAGTACAAACCTATAAAAAATTACTAATTATAAAAGACTAAGAAACTAAGAAGTTAAAAATTATTTGAAAATTCTTAAATAAAAAGATAATATAAACTTTTGATAGTATTATTGAACTAGTTAAAGCTTACAAACTA